CATTCTAAAAAAACACGTGAGCCAACAAGGCCCCGACGAATCTGTGAAAATGCATCTACTCAACGGCTAAAAAACAACGAAATTACTTCTCTACATCAGATTTCCGGAGTTACACAGTGAAGGAAATGGACCCTGCAAAAACAACACATTCACCATACACAGTGGCTGCAGTCATGTTTGAATCTAACAACGAATTAAATAAAACAAAGAACTTTGTCAGTCTTCCAAGAAACGCTCGAGAACACCTTATTCAAAATACTTGCTTCAGCATGCCTTTATCTTGCCCAAACGACAAGTGCACAAAATGAACGTAAAACCACAATAGTCTACCTGGTAGCAGCAGTGGTAAGTCCGATGCGCTATACAAGGAGGAAGAACAATATTACAAACGGTACAAATCATCGCACAGGAGTGAAGAAAAGGTATCGTATAATATCGAAACTGGTGTCTAAAGCGGTTATAATTTCGTTTTTCCTCTATTTTTTGCGAAGAACGGACACTCAGATAACAACTACAAGCGACAAATGTACTCAGCAAGTCCCACCTCAGTTTGCAAATGTATCCACACACTATATATATATATGTATACTATATATAATATATATATTAAATATAATACTATATAGAAAATAAAATAAGTAAATATATGAAATATACTATATTGGTTGGCAGGGCGACAGAAAAATACGCGGTTTTCGGATTTTGCCCGGTCACTGTGACCAGCCACAGGAACGGGCACATGCCGCGCCTACAGAGAGGAACATAAGGATCTGGCTATGCGCTGCAGCCAACCGCACAAGCTACCAGTTCCACGACAGACCCCCACATAGATCCAGTGTAAAACCCGACGAGGAAGACATAAAGACACCGGGAGGCATGTTCTTAAGTGACATGTAAATGTCAGGAGCCACGTTTCATCAAACTGTAAGCCGGCCCACACACCATACAAAACACAGGCAATCACCAGCACACCCCTGTATCTGGGGAATCCCAAGCGCACAGACAAAGGCGGGTGGCTACGGACCGATATGTACCGCCCTCCAACAAACGTCCAGCGGAAAAAAGAGATGCATGGAACCCACTCCGACTTACGAGCCTAAGATTGATGAAGATAGCACGGCCACAAGGACCGTGCACACCACGAATACCTTCCAACCCAGCAACAGACCATACTGTCCCTCCTGGATGACCTAGGACAATGGAACGGTAGTCTGGGTAATCTGACAGGTAGGAAAAACAAAAGACACCTTGATCAAGCAAAATGCCACATCAAGAGCGATACAAAAAGAAGACTCCCAACAACGAGATCCTGGAGATTCAACCACAGCCGATCATTCGAAATGCACCCAATACGAATTCAAAAGTTAAAACAGCATGATCCGAACGCCATAAAACAATACACACAGCTAAATAGAAGCATGAATGAGAAGAAAATTTGAGTTAAAGAATGTGCAGAAATACGTGATAAAGTAACAAATAGAAATGTCCGAAAGGATCACAAAAATTTAAAAAAAAAAAAATCACAAAACAATTCTCCAACAGACGATCAAAATTACGCCAAATTTAACCAAATTTCATGAGCAAACCTGCGTAACAAGTTGGGACACGAAGATTATCAAAAGTACGCAGAAACAAGATCAAACAAAAAATGAAACTAGGTTACTGAATTTATAAAAACCACACTTAAAAAGAAACCTAAATTTAAGACAGTGGTGCAACATCACACTCTGTCAGCGATTCTAGACAAACCACCTAGCCTCAGCGACACATCATAGAGACAGACCTATGGTTCGTGAGGCTGGGTGGACTGGCTAATCCTACGACAATACACCAGAAGTGGGGAGGACTCCTAATCACATCCCCTGCTGCAGAGAAACTTGTTATGGAGGCAAAATACAAGAAGAAAGGCCAGACAGTAATATTAAAACTCAAAGCTTGAAAAAACAAAACCGACCAATAAAGGCGTAACTGTCCCCCATTCATTCCGTCACCGACAACCCGCGACCCGCACCCCACCCAACTCTTCCCCCCTTGCCTCCCCTCCCGTGTCTGCCAAAACCGCAACCAGCCCCCCCCCACTCTTTCTTCTCTTCCCCTCACCATCCTTCTCAAAACTTCGATTCCCCTCCCTCCCCCTCCTCCCTCCTCCACTCCTGCGCTCTCCAACGATTTTCCCACATATCCCCGCGCCCTAGGCCACACATCTTACTCTTATGTCCCCTCTGGCCCGCTCCCTCCCCCTCGTAGGCCGACACGCCTTCTGGGGTGGGATTTTAGGGTTAGCATTCATAATCCACGCACCAGCACCGCCCACCACACCACGACCCGAACCACCACAACTGCGTAACAATCCAGTACAACCCAGCAAATCCGCATCAGTATCAGTAAACAGACCCATTTCGTGCAAGTACACGATGCCATACACACGCAGGTGCATGATCAATATTTAACAATAACGAAAGGGCATTTGGCTTGACGAACCAAAACCCAAAGTTCGTTCTACTTGGTCAGATGTGAAACGCCCTGCCGACACGTAACCCTATCACCATAAAGCCCTCATATAACGGCAAAGTAAATTAGGAAATTGGACGGTCGATAAGGCAACAACGCACTGCAATATTCAACAAACCCCCAAAATTCCCATCAAACAACCGCAGAGCTATTGGAGCACACAACAGGAGTTTAACGGGTTAAACAGCTCAACAGCAGGACTTCAATTGGCGTAGAGAAAAAAATACAGAGTGCACACGACAAAATACAATGTCTCTGACGGTGGAGGAAAAACGACCAGGAAGCGTGTTCATGATAAGTTTAAGCATTGACTGCTCCGCCCCTCAAGCCAGCCGAAGACCCGGTGAATTCAACAATTGCGGGGGAGAGTGAGTGACCAGCACTGACACAAGAACAAAAAACCAACCGAACAGCAGCCGGCACAAAAAACCCCCACCACAGACACAGCGGTCTGGGACCGTGGTAAATACAATCAGAAAGCTCCTTACACGCCGAGAAAGTGCGTATCCAATTACAACCGCACAACAGGGGATTTCGCAAAGCGCGATAAATACAGATATCTTTCGACAAACATACCGAGACAACCAGTCCACCACAGGGCTGACGGATTGACGGGGAGGCCCGAACCCAAGACACGATCCCCAATCTGTCTCTGCGGGCAATACAACATCCCCGAAGAACTGGATTCTGCTCCCCACTGCCTTGTGGGTCCCAGGCTTATTGAGCCAAAGGCATCCGGGTGGAGTCCCTCAAGCAAACCTTCCGAAGGACAACGACCACCTCGCGTGCGATTGCCCACCAATGCAATCGAATGCCTGCGCGCAAAGCAATGTCTGCGAATCAGGCATCGGAAGTTCCTGGAACGTTCGCACACTAAATCTCGTGAAGCCGGAAACTCCAAGCGATAAGAGCCGCGCCGGAGCAACGCATGCACTCGTCCCGCGATGGAACAGGCGTGCGTAACCCACATCGCGAGTTACTGAAGGCAAGAAGTTACGCGCGGCCCTCAGATAGGCGAAACCCGGGCATCGCTGAGAGCCACAGGTAAAGTATGCATTACGGCAGACATAGACTGGGCTATTATAACAAAGAACACGCAAGAAAACAAAATTTCTACTGGGTGGACACAACGCGCCCCGCTGACATATTCAGTCACGCGAAAACAAGTGATCATTGGGGTCGGATTTTTTGAGCAATATCCCGATCGCTTGACCCCCTATCGCGGCCAGAACTGGACGTGGGATGAACACACAGACATCGTCGCAGCGGAAAACTACGAACAAATGCGACTGCATAATACACAACTCGATAACTCCAAGCAAGAGGTATAGGAACTTTTGCATTGCCACCTTTTTTTATTTTTACAAAAAAACCACGTAACGGTCACGAAAAGACCAAAACGGACAGAAGACGACCGACAGTAGAAGCGCGACAATCAGCTTACTACAGATGAGCTATCCTCCGTGATAGCGTCTGTGCCGAGGGAACGCGACGCGACTATCTCTCTGCTGGGAGAATGATTTCAACAGTGCGCCGACGTTGCGGGACGTGGACACGAGCGTCGGTGTGGACAGATGTTATCGGATTCGCCGAACACGTGCATGGCTTTCGGTTCACCAGCGAATGCGACATCGGTGCAGGCTGCTCTGCAACGTCAAAACACACTGTGTGCCAACTCACGGCCCCAATGAGAATCACGAGAAACCACATCAGGTTTGCACTGAGTGACGAGTGGACAAAAACAAACAAATTAAAGCACCAAACAACCTGACTGCGCACGCGACAACAAGGAAGTAGGGTTCCACAAGCTCGACAAAACACACCTGCCTCGAAGACTAATGACACTACGTATCGCTCATGTGATATGCGTGAAGTGCGCATAGCAGACACGTCGTGAACTGCGTGGAAAAGCGAGAGTGTACGGCACTGATCGCGCGCGCGAAACTTGGTGCGGACCAAAATACTAACGTATGAAAGTTTAACTACGTAATCACACACAGGTAACTATTGAGCAAGCGGACCCGCCGTGAATCGAAAATGTCAAAACATGTACCACCAATAAATAACATTCACCTCCAAACAACACTCGGTAACGGCTGAACAGAAAGAAAAAAAGAGAGGAAAGAATGAACAAAGTGAAAGAGCAAAAAAAACGTAAACTTGAAAGGAGGACTGTCACACAAGGGCGATGGCTTGACAAACGCCTGACTTTGATGTGGAAAAAATTGCCATAGCACACAGATGGGTGACACCAACTGTAGGGCAACGACATACAGAAGAAAAGCAATTCGCGACGACAGATAAGATGAAAGCAGTGAACCATGTCGACAAGAACGCCATTGGAAGTCGCTCAGCCGAGCCATCGGACTCTCTGCAGTCTGACAATGCGGGCCGGCCACCCCTAGACTAAGAACAATAAAAAAACAAAGAAGGCATCCGCAATACAACAGGATCGAAAAATCAGAAAAAGTAGAAGCAAAATGAAAATGATGCTGAAAAATTCACCCCGCTCCATCCCTACCCCCCATCCCATCTCAACCCCCATCCCCCTGCTGCACTCGTCTCACTCCCACCACCCCCACCAAACCCGCCATCACATTTCGCTACGCTCCTCGAGTCCTCCACCCCCCCCTGCCTATCATCCCCATCCCCCTCGGCCCCCACCACTCAAACTTCCACCATCCCCATCTCTCCCCATCATCACTCCCCCTCCCGATAAATCCCCCTCTTTCCCTCATGTCCCAATTCCCATCTCCCACATCCCACCGCCGCTTTCTTCCCTCTCCCCACGTCCTCGCACCCCCCGTCTCAATCCTGCTCCCCCTCCCTCCTGACACCCTTTCCTCGACCCACCCCCCTCCGTCCCTCCCCGTCCTCTCCCCCTCATCCCGCCTACTTCCCCTTACTCCACCCTCGCCGCGCGTCTCGCTCTATTGCCGGTCTCCCCTTTCTCGCTTAATCCCCCTCCCGTACCCACCTCCCCTCTCCAAGCTATCTCAATCCCCCCTCCCCTGTCTTCTCCCCCCCCCCTCTGTCTGATAGCTTCCTCCCCCTTCGCCCTTCCTCACGCGATCCGCCCCCCCCCCCCCCCCCCCCCCCCCCCCCCCCCCCCCCCCCCCCCCCCCCCCCCCCCCCCCCCCCCCCCCCCCCCCCCCCCCCCCCCCCCCCCCCCCCCCCCCCCCCCCCCCCCCCCCCCCCCCCCCCCCCCCCCCCCCCCCCCCCCCCCCCCCCCCCCCCCCCCCCCCCCCCCCCCCCCCCCCCCCCCCCCCCCCCCCCCCCCCCCCCCCCCCCCCCCCCCCCCCCCCCCCCCCCCCCCCCCCCCCCCCCCACCCCCCCCCCCCCCCCCCCCCCCCCCCCCCCCCCCCCCCCCCCCCCCCCCCCCCCCCCCCCCCCCCCCCCCCCCCCCCCCCCCCCCCCCCCCCCCCCCCCCCCCCCCCCCCCCCCCCCCCCCCCCCCCCCCCCCCCCCCCCCCCCCCCCCCCCCCCCCCCCCCCCCCCCCCCCCCCCCCCCCCCCCCCCCCCCCCCCCCCCCCCCCCCCCCCCCCCCCCCCCCCCCCCCCCCCCCCCCCCCCCCCCCCCCCCCCCCCCCCCCCCCCCCCCCCCCCCCCCCCCCCCCCCCCCCCCCCGATCAT